TGGATCTTCTATTCTATCAGAATATAACAAGCGGGCACAAAATTTATAGTCGCCTCATCAAATAAAAACTATTCATAATTAGAAATTCTACTAATCAAATATTTTGTAATTCCTACTAGATTATAACTATCCATATTTTAAAAATAGTCTCATTATTAATCATATATATATTTAAATATAGAAGTTTATTCAGTTAGAAATTCCCATCAAATTAAAACTATCTATAATTATTAAATTCTAATAATTAAACACCTTGTAGTCATTATCATATTATAACTATCCATATTTAATAAAAAAAAATCTCATAATCATATTTATTTAAATATAGAAATTAAAGAATAACTCATGTAGAGAGCCTCTCTGTATAAAACCATAGTTCAATTTTAGAAAAACCTCCTTAAATAATTTAATTTGAGAAAACCCTCCTCAAACTTGAGCATATATTGTAAATAAACCCCACAACTATGAAAATTTGAGATAACCCCTTAAAATTTCCTGACTAATCCCCCTCAAATGTGAGGTGTGCCTGAGAAGCACCCCCAACAAACTATTTTAATTTGAGCCCTCAGGTTTAAGCATAATATCGATAATCCCCTAAATCTGAAAATTAGAGGTGCTCTCATGAACTCTTCTCACTTTAAACATTGAAAGCTAATACTATTAGTTCTAGCATGTCATATGACAAGTAGGTAACTAAAAAGATGAAAATACACCCCACTCATAAAAAAAATACTCTTACCTTTTTTTAAGATGAGAGAGAGAGAGAGAGAGAGAGAGAGAGAGAGAGTAGAAAAAGAGAGAGAAGCATTGTAAACTAATCAAGATCTTTTTACTAGTTGGGGGTTTCTTTGTAACTAAATGAGTTGATTTTCAAAAGAGTATTTTAGTTATTTTATATTTTAAAGTGATGTTAAAGGGGTTTGGTGAGAGAATTGCGAAAGATTAGGGGTTTTTTGTGACATACCCTATAGTTGAGGGGAGTTTCTTTAATTTTCAAAGTAAAATAGGGTTGTTTGTAATATGCCTAAACCTGAGAGGGATTTTCTTAAATTAAAAAAAATGGATGGGTAGGAGGGGGGTTCTGAGACATTCATAATATACGACTCACCCGTGCCACCAAGAGCAAAATACTTATCATAGTATAAATAAATTTGTGATGGTCAAATTCCGTTCAAACTAGTGTGCAGCCCGTGCGCAGCACGGTTTTTTTTTTTTTGCTACAGTGTTCCCGCCATTTTTAAACTCTCCCGGTTTGAATTTTCTGGGGTGCTATAGTAACTCACCTGCTACAGTGCCATTCCCGAGCTGCTACAGTTAGGGGTGAGCACGGTTCGGTTCGGGTCGGTTTTTACCAAAATTTGAACAACCGAACCGAACCACCTACAATTCAAAACCGAACCGAACCATTGCAAATCGGTTCGGTGCGGTTCGGTGCGGTTCGGTTCGGTTTGTTCGGTTCTAACTTCATCAAGTATAACTTCACTTCAATTTATCTTTTATATATTCTTATTACCCTATGCCAGCATGTATTTATTTTTTAACTTCACTTCAATTTATTATTCTTGCTCATGTATGTATACTGTTTTTAAGTGAAGTAACTTGTCCTTTTGGATTAAATACTAGACTCTGACGTTGTAATTTTTTAGTAACGGACTAGCTCTGTCTTTGGGTAAATAAACGGGTAAACGGGTAGGGTTTGAGGCAAGAGAATATATTCGGTTGGTTCGGGTCGGGTCGGTTTGAAAAGTTGTCAACCCGACCCGAACCGCCTTACTCATAAAACCGCTTTTTTGGGTCGGTTCGGGTCGGTTCGGTCGGTTTTTTCGGTTTGAACCCGCCTTACTCATAAAACCGCTTTTTTGGGTCGGTTCGGGTCGGTTCGGTCGGTTTTTTCGGTTTGAACCCAACCGTGCTCACCCCTAGCTACAGTAACCGATCTGCTACAGCGCCTTTTAAATTTCTCAGCTGCTACAGTAATACTGCTACAGTAAATCTGCTGTAGCATTTACTGTGGCATGAACATTGACTCTTTGTTTCTCCCTTTTGTATAAAAGAATAGATATAACTACTATTATATTTCATAGGTCACATTTCAACACAAGTTTAACCCATTTTCAAATTGTGAAATTACTATAATTGATAAATTAGGCTCTTTGCTAATACACTGGGGTCCATATTTAAAAAAAAAACTTATTACTAGCTTGTTGAAAGGATCACTACATAATCACAGCCATTGATTATCTAATTGATGGTTATGATTTTTTCTTTTAGTGCAAATTAGGAATTAGTGCAATACACGGGGGTATGGTAAGTGTTAGATTTAGATTGTATCATAACCGCCTACTAAATAATCAACGCTTGAGATTAAAAGTAGTGGTCCCTCCACTACTTTTTTGTAATGGAGAGGATCCAAATCCTGTTGAAAGGCCAATTGGATAGATATATTTGTAGAATTTAAAAGATGAAAAAGGTACCTTGAGATGAGAGACGTGACTTGAGATGCTGCATGATTAAAGTATTCAGAGCAGCCTTGTGACGAGGCTGATGGCATTCTGTCAAAAAAAGTCATTGGGAGCAGACTGAGGTATTTCAGAAAACAGGGGTCGTCATTTTCCCTGACATAAACTCGAGGACAGGATTCAAATCTTACGCCCATCCAGAAATCCAAGTTCAATGCATGTAAAGCTGAATGGAGCTAATAAGGCCATTCCGCTGTTAGAATACAAAAGTTTAACCGTTAATTCTTATTACAATTTGAAGGTTTTGATGACAACAATTTTAAGATGGTACTCATACTAATTATTATGAATTTAAAGCAGGTTAAACAAGAAATTAATGTTGTTGTGCGAGTCCATGTTTCGGTCCATGAAAAGAGCGTTTAATCTACATGTTAGGATATAAAGTATAACCCGTAACTTTCATCATAACTTTAGAGTTTTGACGTAGTGACAAAAATTTTAAAAATTGTAAAAGTTCATGCCAAATGCAAATCTTAGGACACAATTGTACAAGTTTAGTGCTCCGAGACCGACAGACAATGAGAATATTTAGATTTTTAATGTCCCTCTATTCACTCCATAAAGGTCTCAAAACACAGTTAGTACGCAATTATTCTGATAAAAATTATAGTCCTTTATTCTAACGAGTCTTATGCAAACTGCCATGGTGGGGGATCTACTGTTGGATCGATAATGTTAAGAGATAATTTTACTCCAAACTTTCTCAAACTACAGTTGACTAGTACAATTTAGAGGCCAGGAAACTTTTTACCTTTTTCCCTTATGGTTAAATTTGATTATATGAGATCAAACTGGGGCAATTTAGAGCTTCTTATGTAGTATATTTACAATATGTTAAAACACTTAGCGTGTGTGTTTGGTAACTCCTCAAAATGGGGTCAGGGCTAGACCCGACATTTTGTGTAAATTTGTGTTTGGGTAAAACTAAGCTAACATTGACCTAGTTTTACCAAGACCAAAATTGACATTTAAATCTAGTTTTGTTTTGGACCACCTCTCCCCCAGTCCAAAACAAAACATTTAGGGTGTGTTTGGCAAACTGCACAAAACTAAGCTAGGACCAGTCTTGACCCAGTTTTGTACCAAACCAGTTTTCTTTTGGACTAGCCATACTTGTCTAAAAAATAACTAGTTTAAGGTCATCTTTTGGCCTATGAAAACAGGGTCAGATCTGGCTTTGTTGTTTGTCAAACAAAAACTCTTTCAAAACTGGGCCGGGTTTAAACCTGGCTCAGTTTTGAAAGATTAGCAAACACACACTTAGTATGTTTGGCAACCTTGTAAAATTAGGTCAGCGCTGAGGTTGACCCAAAATTAAGTGGCTTTTTGTTTGGTAAATGAGAGGAGTGCAGCTGGTCCCCTTTTCTGTAGCCTAAAATTGACCACTAAATCTATTTTCTTTTAGACCGGGAGAGGTAGTCCCAAAAAAACTTTTTTAGCATAAAGCTTGGTCATGACTAGTCCTATCCAGTTTTGTATAGTTTGTCAAATACACCCTTATTTAAGGTATTCATTTATAAACAAGATGATGTTCTATACAATTCGTATTAGTTGTTAACCAAGACAAGTAGAGGATCTGCTACTGTTTATTTCCGACCAGTTACGGAAAGGATTTTGTATTCCATTACGGATATAGATCTTTTTCGTTGTATATTAATTAATGGTAAAAAAGGGCCATTGTATTGTAATCACCCAATAATATGCGACCATTTAAAATTCAATCTTATTCAAATAGACGTTATAGGCATAAATTTACATTCATATCTAGTTTTCACTCGGGGGCAGTTTGTTTGCGCAAATGAAGAGAGAAATGGGTGGTTTGAAATCTAACAAGAAGGCCACATAGAATTTTGGTTTCAAGACATTTTCATTCTCTGTATTTGGTTCGCTGGGTGATTTAAAGAAATGGGTGGGGAGGGGGGAGGAGGGGGTGAAATGGGTTGCTACATCAGATTTTTAAGAAAACTCATTTCAGACCAGAAGTGACTGAAATGGTTTGGAAATGTCACATTTGGGCATATTTAAATATTTAAAGCACTATTGAAACAACGTCTTGAATTAAAGGAGAATGTTTAATGTCCTGTCGCTGAATATTTAATTGAAAACCTCATTTGATTTCTTAATTTCTGGATGTTCAAACAAACCCAAGAAATGAGAAACAATGTTTTCCAACCTATGATTTCAATGTGAAACCAAAAAAAAAAACGGATAAACACTCTGAAATATCGAGAAATGTTTTCTAGACTAGTTTTCTGTTTTTTTTTTTTTTTTTTGGAAATGTACCAAGACATTTTTTTTTTTTTTTTTTTTTTTTTTTTGGAAATGTACCAAGACAACCTCTTAAAATAAATTAAAATAATTAAGTAAATAATACATGGTCATCAATCAAAAAGTGTACTCTCCATCGCATGACCTATAAAAATATGTTGAGTTTCAAAAATGCCCTTCACTTCTTCTATATAGCAGGGCACAGGCACTCGTTATTCCCCACCCATTTCTCTCTCGGCCTCTTCACTCTCTGTCTACTAACTGTGATTCTATCCTCCCTAATCAATGGGTCTCTCAAGCCAGCGCATGCTTCCGGCTATCGCCCTCCTCTTCTTGCTTCTAGTTGCCACTGGTTTCCTTCTCTCCTCTCTCCCTTTTAATTGCTTTCAGTTTATTTACATATATATATATTAATTAATTACATGTCATCGTAATTAGCTCATAACTTCAACACGTACACATGATACGGGATGGGCTTTAATGTTCGCTGAAGAAATTTGATCATCCCCTCCACTTATACTGATTTCTTAATTATATTTGTTATTGGAGTTTGTTCTTCCCTCTCGTACATCGCAATAATCGCCACCTTAACGTTGGAGTTTTGGCACTTAAGTGTGTACCTAACAATATTAAAATCTCTTCTTACATGGTTTTTTTTTAATCTTAATCTTAATTTTTCACCTGTAGAGATGGGGCCAGAAGTTGTAGAGGCAAGGACTTGTGAATCACAGAGCCACAGGTTCAGGGGGCCCTGCGTCAGGGAATCCAACTGCGCTAGCGTTTGCCAGACCGAAGGATTTCCAGGCGGCGATTGCCGCGGGCTCCGTCGCCGATGTTTCTGCACTGGACCTTGTTAGAACCGGGTCATGGCTTTCGGTGTTCGAGAATAAATTAAGCAAGCTTGTTGTAGCTTGTTAATGTTGGGGTATCGATTTTAGATTAAGCTAGTTGTTATGCATGCGTGCGTTTGTTTTTGGGTGGTTTTTTTTTATATGTCTTGGTTTGTAACTTGTCATGTTTGAAGATGTTTCATCGAAGTTGCGTTGGTGATTATTAGTTGTTCGTTGTTCATTAATCCTTTATTATTTTTTTCGTTGTTGTGTGGATGAACCGTTGATTAATTTATTTACTTGTGTTTGGTAGAAGCAATGAACAATCTTATAAGAAAAGAGAGGGCCTTTTACACTTCTTATCTCTCTTTTGACGCTAATAAGATGACCTAGCTCCTGAAAAAAGAGGTTAGATGTCGATAAAGTCCGCTTAACTTTGAGGAGGTTTGCTCATAATCCTCGTGGACTTCTTTTATTCGCCGGTCAAACCTCTTTAAATAATTTTCACTTTAGCCCCCAATAGAATACCATCAAGTACTCCCTCAACCCTCAAAATGTATTATTTTCTTTTTTTCTGGTCACATACTTGACATATATACTTGTTAGGCTTGACATGCTACTTTGAAGGGTTACAGTGACAACACTTCAAGGATTTTAGCGGGCTTAATTATGACCCATACCCCCCTCAAAGTTGAGGGAGACTTTGAGGAATTACCTATCTATTACTATATTTAAGAGAAGCCATGCTTTTAGGCCTGTGAACTTTATTTTCAAAAATTCAATAATATCCTCAAAATTTATATGCAACTTGGAAGTTAGTTTTAGGGGAAACTTAGAAAAAGTCTATAAAAAAAATCTCCCAAACTTTCTTAACTAACCCACTAAGCTTCCCACGTACGTTCAAAAATCAAATGTGGCAAAATACAAAACTCCCTAAAATTCTTCACGCCACAAAAATCTTGAGTATAAGGTTCGAAAGAAAGAAGAAGCAAATGTGAATTTTTCGAATCTGAATGCTTTGATTCCCTTCGTTTAAATCATATAAATATTTTGTCTTTGTTGTTTGATATTATAGATCTCATTTTGTAGAAGAAATTAGAGTTTGAAAAAACATTTATATTATGCACAAGTGTACTATATCATGCATGCATTGCGTGCACTGGAATACTAGTACTAGTTAAAGAGAGACTTCAAAAACGGCCAAATAATGTTCGCAAATTTACCAAATAAAAAAAGGATGAAGTCTTAACACCTTGTTTCTTGCTACAAATGCATTTTTAACTGTTTTAAAAGAAGTTTTATTGTTTTACAATCAACATGGGAGCTTTTTTAATCCTTCTAAACCACAATTGGTATTTAAGCTCCGAACTGTATACTATTACCGTGATAATTATTGTATAATAAAGTGTGCAAGGATCCCTTTGCCGCCTAAGCTGGTTTGCCCGAGAGGTTAAGGGGGAAGACTTAAGATCTTCTGCACATAAGTGCGCATGGGTTCGAACCCCATAGCCAGCATTTCCTTTAAAAATATCTTATTAATTTTTTAACACTTTTTGATTATCCTTTTCCTAAAAAACATTATTCAGTGATTGAAAAAACTTAAGAAAATGAGAATTACGATACGATTATAATTCCAATTGGAATAGGATTATAATTAATAATCCAAATCAAAGAACGAGTCTCATGCAAATTCTGAAATACGCCTAGAAAGGTTCAAGGTAGATCATGCTTGTGAGTAATTAGGCCAAATCGACTTAGAGGCGAGTAACTAATTTTAACCGAAAAGTTATATTTATTAGGTATTTGTCCTAACTGCTATTTAAATCCATCATTTTTTCCTATCTATCCAATGTAGGACTATTCACATATTAATAACATCAACAAATCATACACTATAAGAAAGCCAAGTAAAAATTGCATATTTTAAGGGAGGGAGGGAGAGAGATCTTTTGTTAATGTTGCGAGAGAGTTTACTGTTAGCTCTTTTGAAAACATAAAAATATGTTGTACCTCGTAATCTCCGCTGTAAAGAATACCCAAATCTCACACATGGGCATAGGCGATTGTCGAACCACGTAAAACTCGTATTTTTTTTGTTCCTGATATATTTTCTGTAGCATTTGCTCATTCTCTTTAGTTTGAACACAGGTTTCTCGATGTTCTCACATTGCCGACTGATCGACTGGTCTATAAAGGAGGAGCAGATCTAATCGGATCTTTCAGTGATGCTTTTCGTAAGCTACGTTTCAGCATTGAACATCAGTCATTGCCAACAACAGGTAACAAATTACGGTGGGTGCGTCCAACACATAATAATACCAATCTCATAAATAATAATTGCTAAAAAGAAGTCGCAATGGCCGAAGTACTATTAGTGATATTTATGAGCAAATCATATGCATATATATAGTAGCTAGTTTAACCTTATAAGCTTAATAGCACTTGGGGATTTCACCGCACAGGCATCGCATTTGTAATCAAAACTCGCGTAATTAAATGACTACAAGGCCATGCCCTCCTTGTTGAAGCTTGTCCTCTTTACCACCTCGCCATCATTTTCGAAGTCGCATGTGGAAAATGGCTCTAGAGAATCAGCGTCGACACTCTTGTACCGTCATCACACATGCTCACATAATTTAACAATTTTGAGGATGAATGATTGTCTGCGCTTTGTCTCGTTTGTACGATAACAGCTTGCAAATGGAGTAGCGCGTGGAAAACGCGTGTAGGTAATTCAAACTTGAAGAATGGTTTGCTAATTTGGCAAATTTCTCGGTAGCTGCCAGACGAGTGATGGGGCCCCGCACCCTGGAGGGAGGAAAGAGATACAGACTCCACATGACATTATTTGGACATTTGTGAGTCACGAGAAAGTCTATTGGAGGCTTGTCTTCGTTTCATGTCATCATCCATGGTTTTCAATCATGTAAAAAAAAAAAAATCCCCTATAAATTTACTTTTTATTGATTTTATGTATTTCCTACATCAATTTATGAATTTCGTGGTTGGAAGATGTGTATGAGAACAGTAGCATCTTTTATTCAAAATGTTAACACTGTCGTTAGCAAATTTCAATAATTCTTGGTATTTTTGTGTACCCTGAGATTTTATGATATTTTTCTCTCTAATAAAAATATCTCTAGTAATTTTGTGCAAAATTCCAAGTTTATGATAATTTTATGAAATTTATGCTTTTTAAATTTATCAATTTAGACTTAATTATTACAATTTAAATATAATAAATAATGTTCATAGAGCTCACTAAATATTGGACTGGGATATAATAGAATATGTAGGCCTGGAAACTGAATAAATGGTTGGGTCTAAATTGGAACTCATCACGTCTACTCAAGCTCATAACTCATAAGGGTTTGCATTTAAAAAATGGGACCCACAAGATAAAACTCCTAAATTTTTACTATATACATTGTTTGACTAGGCATATTTTCTATGATGAATTTAGGGTTGCCAACGAGGATAAACGCTCAATTCTAATTTTCTAAAAATACGGTGATTTTACTCTAACTTCATTGACACTTAGGGGCTGTTTGGTTCGTTTCCTTGATATAGAGAAATGCAATTCCATGTAAAGAAACACAAGTTTTGAGTTTTCCAAACTTTTCCAAGAAATAGATTGTTTTGCTTTGGTTCGCACATAAAAAATGGTAGGAAACCAATGTATTTATTTTTCTTGTGTTTGGTTCGCATAGAAAAAAAGGAAAACTTTTGTAAACAAAGCAGAGAAGGAAAAAAATCTGACGTGGCAGAGTTTTCATCAATTTCACTTGGTTGGGGAAGGAAATCGGAGAGGGAAAAAAATCTTAGTTGGCGGCGATTTTAGCAGAGTTTTCCCTCTTCCATCCGAGCGAACCAAAGCGGCACAAAGAAATGGACGGAAACAAAAAAGCTGACGTGGAGGCTAAAAATCTGACGTGGAGGGGTTTTCTGAGTTTTCCACCCCTTATAATAGCGAACCAAACAGCCCCTTATCTGAAAAGGAAAAATGAGGGATATTATACCATATCATCCCTAACAAATTCATGTACAATCAGACAAGAAATTTTGAATTGAATTTGTAATTCAACAAATTCCTTTCAAAATGCATGCAAATTTTTTTTTTTTTGCATTTTTTTTATTTTAGAGTATATATTTTTCTAAATCCATGGCATGTGCATGCATCAAAATGCAATTCACGAGCGAAACAGCCTCATACTATTCCCTCTCATTTCTAGCTGCTCTTACTGCAGGTCACCCTTTGATTTGGTGGATACAATCAAGCCATTGCCATTATCTGGAGAGAAAAAAATTGAACAAATTCTCTTTGTCGCAAATGGACTTCTGGAAGGGACTTTGTCCATCTTTCCGTGGAAGTTGCACATTAGTATATTTGCATTTTGCAAATACACATTTCATAATGTCGCAAACAATATATTCTCGAGTTTGAGTCATGTAGGATATTTTATAAATAGAGCATAAGAAAGGGTTAATTGCGAACAGACCCTACGAGTGAATTCTTTTTGACATATAAAGTAGTCAAAAAAGGTCTTGAGGAGGCGGCTAACCCCTTATCGTTTTATGGGTGAGGATAGATCTTCAATTGTTAATTTTTTTTTATCTCATAAAAGAGTCGAAAAAGTTCCCTAAAGAAGTGTATATCGCACTTGGGTCAATACTACATGGGTCTATCCACACAAATAGAACTACAGAGAGTCTATTCGCAATTGGGCGATACTACAAGGAGCCTATTTGCAATTAACGCCGTAAAAACAGCTCTTTTTATTAACTCTAGGAATATCAAATATTTGAATCAATTAGGAGATGCAAGCAAGCATAGCATGTTGTCAGCTTGTCTTTAAAGGCTTTTTTTTACCGGTTATACTGTATTAGGCAGTGGCATTCATAACTTCCCCCTTACAAGTCACCATATTATTATTTTATTACTGTTCACAATTGGTTCATAATTTAGAATTTTAATTGAACTGATACAAAATCTATGACAATCTAGGCCTAAGGATCGACCAAGTTGCTGCCGGATTGGCTTCAAACTAGAACCCTCTTCTGGCCTGAGTTTCCGGTCATAAATGGCATTAACCAAATAGAATAATAAGTTTGGAATATGACAAATTGAATATTTTAATAGAAAAAAAAAACTTGAACGACGATCATTATGTGAGAGAAGAAGATGGTACAATTAGGTCACATTTTTAGACTTTTTACTCTTATCTATTTAACGCCGGCGTATCATGTTTCCAATAGTTTGAACATGCTTAGCATAATGAGATCTACCATTAAGCACACAGCATTTTATAATCGGGAAAATAATAACGACGTTTGTGTGATTTGGTCAACAAAATATAATCATATATTATGAGGTATCCACACGGGAAATCACTACAACGAAAGAGATTATGAGAGATGGGGGAAAACAACTTAATATCATGCTTTCACAATCTTCTTACAGCATCTCCAACCGAACTCTAAAACCCCAGTTTGACGTGATTTAGCCCCTACAACCGAACTCTAAACATCGCGCCAATTTGAGTGTTGCGCCAAATTTGGCGCAGCACTGTAGCTTTGACGCAACAAAAAAAATGTTTTTGTGCTTTTTTTAGCTTTTTAATTTTTAATTATTTAGATAAAAAGAATAATACACATAAATAATATAATTTATATTATTTTTATAATAAATAATAATTACACATAAATATATGTGCTAATTCATAATAAATTTATATTATTTTTATAATAAATAATAATACAACATAAAGTAATATTTTAATAATATATTTTATAATAATAAATTTATGTTGTATTATAATAAAAAAATTTACACATAAATTTATGAAAGTAATATTTTAACTTGATTAAGCATTATTTTTATATTTACATTTTATTCATAAAATATATTATTATAATTAACTATATGTAATGTATTATATAATTATATAATACATAATTTGTTAAATATTTTAAATAGATAAAAATTTTCGAAGATAAGAATCATAAAAGGAATATTCTTTTTGATATAAAATTTGGTGTAATGGGTTAGAGATGAAATAGTGATTTGGTGTAAAAACTATACTAATTTAGTGTAAAAACTACACTATTTTGGATTTTTGGGTTGGAGATAATCTTAGATCTCTATCCTCTCGCCCCAATCTCAACCATCTAGCGAATTTAGAGGAACTACGAAGCCCAAAGTTTTACGAGTAAGCAAATGGACTGGGACACCCTCCACTAAAAAAATAGTAACAACCCCTAAAACTCCAATCTTTTCTGATCACTTTCACCCTAAAATTGACGATTTACCCAGTTGATAAGAGTTTCCTTATTAAAAAAGTTTAATATTTGACCATAAGGATCATTTTCATATTTCCACGTCTAATTCCAAATTTAGACGCTCAAGGGTGCTGCTTCATGTATCTAGCATGATCAAGATCCAACCAAATTGGTTACTCCCAAGTCTCCCATCACAATCTCATTACCTTTTTTCCCTTCCCTTCATTGATCTGGAACTTTTGCATATCAGGGCATTTATTTTAGAAATTTGGTTCATGTGCAATCAACCCCATCTATAAGTTGGGATATCTCCTCCTCAAAGGAAAATGTGCTTATTAAAACCGGGAGAACAAACATGAAGGTTTCTCTCACTCTCCTCCTCCTTGTTTCCCTCCTTTTCGCCGCCGCTTCTAACGTCGAAGGAAGAATGTGTGAGACTCCAAGCACCCAATTCAATGGACTCTGTGTAAGTGACGGCAACTGCGCCAATGTCTGCAAAGGTGAGGGCTTTCCTGACGGTGACTGCAAGGGCATTCGCCGCCGCTGTATGTGTCGCATGCCCTGCTAGCTGCCTCAAGACTCTGGTTCCGATAAGCTACCACTATTACTCTTATGTATCCACCCCTATCAAAGTCTGTAACACGATGTACGTGCAATAAAAGGCAAGGGAAACTTGGTTTCTTTCATCTGACGTGACAAAAATAAAATCTTGTTTCGAAATCGTCAATTACTTCAATTATACAGGGAACATAACAATCCATGCATAACAAAATGTGTACCTGCTATGTAAAGTGCCGTTTAAAGGGACAAATTCATCAAGATATCTGCAAGATCATAAGTAGTGACGATCAGCTAGAACTAAGTTCTGATCTTTCTGTTTCTCGGCTACATCTCATGTTCGGGACATTTCTCAAGTGGTGGCACCCTGAAGATGGGAATTAATCAAAAGAGCTTCTACTACAAAGGTACCAATCACCTTAATCATCACGAAATATCTAAAAATAATAATTGTCGCCGCGTTACCCTTATCTACTTGATGTTTGTGTGTATTTCAAAGGAGTTCCCTCTCAACCTTCTCATATCCAATATTTCCAAGTTCTATGCAAGATGCATCACTCATCTATGTCCCTGCAAACTCGTTATGGACCAAGGAAATAAGTTGTAGAGCACGTCAGTAATGACATTATATCTCAATGCTTAATGTTCTCCTTCATCAATCCTCCATGAATCTCAATGCCTCTTAGCCACCCCCCCCCCCCCCCCCCCCCCAACTATGCTGATAACAAGGAACAACTAAACAGTTTGTTTACTCGTCACCAGCCTACTACCATGTTCAGGATTTAAATCTACATAGTACTCCAAATGTGACAATAGAATGAACTCAGTTGGATAAGCTTTGACATCAGAAATTTATCTAGAGTAAGCACAAGGAACAGAAAAGTAAACAGAATAGCACATTATAACGTAGGATACATAAGAAAATCATTCATTTCAAAAGAATACAAGTATCTTACTAACAAAGACATGATGACTGTCATAATTTTGGTTCTCCTCATTCATTTCAAAAGAATACAAGTATCTTACTAACAAAGACATGATGACTGTCATAATTTTGGTTCTCCAAATAGAAAAAAACCTCATAGAAAACAGGAAAAAAGAAGTCACCTCATGTGCTTTTGTGACTGAAGAGGAAGAACAATTATGTAAAGCACCTATCTCCATGCCATCACAATAAGCAATTAAAAAATATCATTTCACCTTTAGTAATTGAGATGTACTACTTACCCTACTACTGTCAAAAATGTTACTCAAACATCCAGGGAGGACCTAAACCAATTGAAGTCTCTCTTAATTGGCGGGCTGTTTATGAGATGTTATTACAAGAATTGATGTAATCGTAAGTTATGCGGGTCGATAATGCGCATGAATAGGCCTCACCTAGTTCATGTTTCATTTCATGCAACTGCAGATTTCTTCTCATCTTCATGATATTCATCAAGATTCAAAACTTCCAGTAGCTTCGGCCATGACTCTGGGATTCCGCCTGGTAAATCAAACTCCAAAAGCTTCCCTCGACCACGATAGAAATCCTCCACTGGCTGGCTCTGCAGAGACCAAGAGTTTCTTTTCAAAATCTAGTATATTACCAGTAGAAGTGATTTGATGAATTACACATAAATATGTGTTATGTCTTCATCCTAATAAATAGGTCCAAATACAGAAAATTGTTTCATAAAAATGGAAAGAAATGTGGTCGAATCCAAACTTAAATACAAACAATCAGTCGTCAACGCAGTGATGAAAATTCAGTCAATGATGCTCATGGAAAAGTGTTTGTGTTAGGGAAGCAAAACTACTGTGAAGAATTTTCAAAAAGTGCACAATCATACCATGTCATTATATATACGCAGACGTTCCTTCACCACCTCTTCTGTATCATCAGCTCGAGTAATAAGCTTCGAAGTGCAATGTGCAGGAGGCAAGAGCGGGGCCATACTCATGGCAGGTTTTCCATTCTCCTCCTTAGCATTGATAGAAGCAACATTAAAGTTACCTCCACATTGGCTGCATATCCTTCTCCCAAGACATTTCTCAAGCAACACATCTTCCCGAAGCTTGAGGTTAATTACTAGGTCGATATCAGTTGTTCCCTCCAATATCACCTGAGAAACACAAAACAAGCAGGCAGCAAGATAAGAAAAATAATGAATTTCTGAGCTTGAAAACAAATGGAACAAATAAAATGACACTACCAATCAGCACAAAACCTGATACTTCAACCAATGTTTTCTTAAAAATAAGTGAGGACGCTGAAAACAGTCTTGAGAAGGAAGGATATCTGAACCCGTTATTTGAATGGTGTGTATGAATATTATAAGAGATGACTAAAGTATGGTTTACCATGAGTAACAATATAAGATCTTTCATTTACTGCTAACATTATTTTCATAGATTTTTAAGCACGTAAGATGGCAGAGGCCTCCTTTGCCCAGAAAACGCCTAGACATGAATGATCGAATAAGAAAAGGCCTAAAATGAATAACTTGAGATTGAGCAAAGTGTGTAAACTTTCAAAAATAAACTTAACAAGTTTTATTGTATTCGACGATTGTAATGTCAGATAACTAAAAAAGGTAATATGAAACTCAACATTTAAGAGTAAAAAGTTCACCAAGGATATGTGCCCAATCCACACAATTAAAAGAAGTAATACTCATCTGCTTCATCTCGACATTCCGTAAATGAGCCCAGGGCTCTTTCAATCTGCTTGATGGCTCTTCGATGGAGTTACTTCAATTTTGAATTGTACAAAAATCCACACTCATAAACACTTGACCGATAACAGAAACTGATCAATAGATCTGATGTTTCTGTTGTCCCTCCTAGACGATGAAAAATAAAGGGAAGGTTGGTGTATTCAAGAAGATAACATACTCACACAATGTCCTTTAAATAATCATAGTTCATCAACGTTTGGGATGTAATATGGTTTCAAAGAACCAGTGCATGTAATTGCTCGTTCTGCTGAAATTGTAACCATGGGTACTGATGTGAAAATGGAAACAACTACGGAGGCAACTAAAATTTTCATTACTCCAACTAGACTGAGTATTAAGCGGGTAGGATGACACCATGTTTGGTGTCACTGTGTCAAGCATATCCAATGCATCAGCTAGTGGAAATAGTGCCTACTATAAGCTCCACGCGCAGGTGCTTTAGATTGTGGATGTTTATTCTATTGAAAGCATCAACATAAGCCGAAAAAAGAAAGCTGATTTCACTTCAAGTAAGTACATTACTCTGTCATTAGAAGGAAAGGAACGCATCCACTGATGTTTTAAGTATTAAGTCTTTGACTAGTCCACTTCAACATCCTCTCTAGATTAGTCTATACTCAATCTTCAGGTTCGGGTCAAAGCTGACTAGTAATTGCTTAAAATTGGTGTTTTTGGCACTGGAAAGAAGCAATAAAGTGAATAAACTATTATGAGATGTTAGAAAGTGAGAATGATACTGTTGATCCAAGGAATTCTGTAAAGGAACACGACGAATTAACAAACTTAGGGAAAAACATTAAAATTCTTTTAGACTTCCAAGTATTGTGCATGACTTATGTACCACAGACACTTCAATTATGAAACCATGTCGTGTCAGACTCACATCATGCACAATATTTCTGTTTTGTATATAGTTCTAAGAACATTTGAATAGTCATATCATGAAGTGTCTCCATGCGGATTTTGATGCCAATATTATGTCAGTGCAAAATGGCATGATCAACACCTAGTACCATATGTTTTAAATGACTCCAAGAAGCAATATTTTAATTTTAAAAGTAACACGATAAGCAGTAGCTACAAATTAACTAAGTGATAAAACTTGATAAATATTTCTTAGTCCGATGGACCAACATATAAATTACAACCCAATACCAGTAACAACCGCAAGATGAAACTAAGCAAATGCAGTTAAATCCCCCAAATTATGAGTTCAGCACATAGCAATAAATCTAAATTCGAGTTATGTTGTCATGTTGCTACAAAGGCCAGAGTAGAAAGTAAGAACACAAATACCAATATACCAGAATTGAGTGAAAGGAACAATAAATATATCTTAGTGTCCACTCAGCAATAAAAAAGAGAGGAAAATGTTCCCATGCTTCTTAAAAATTCAATTCCTTACTGCTTGTCTTATCGTTCGAGGAAAACCATCAAGAATGAACCCAGACTCGCCCTTGGCTTCTCCATTCTCAAGGCGCTTGGACAACAGATTTATTATAATTTCATCAGATACCAACTTCCCCTGATTTACAATATCTTTCAGCTGCAAAGAAGTGAAATTGATGAAGATTAGACATCAGATATAACAATCTGCTCCTTGCTCAGGAAAACTTGTAGTTCTAAACATAGTTTTTAATGTTATAAAGAGGGGTGTCCTTCAGAACCTCAATGATTTGAAGATACTAAAAAACAAATAGATCATCTTATATTAGCAGGCTAATAGCGAGATCCTGCAATGCCGCATCCAATTGTAAAACTTGGGGCATCCATAAAAGTTTACATGCTCCTTTTCTTTAAATGCCTAGATAAGAAAATTAAAGACAATATATGTAGAAACGTCTATTAGAGAAGTCATCAGGAAGTTGAATCAATTTGGTTTTTTCCATTGTCATAGATCAAGGAGAGCAGTGCAGACTCGTCAAGCACTTATAGGTTAGTTAGGCTGAATTACTCACATTTCATCAAGTATTAACAGCCTAAAGTCATCTGACTCGTATCTTATCCATCTGTTCATTTCATAGTTTACTCAGAGATCAACCTCGTTAAATGGTACAATGATAACATAGCGCTTTCTGCCACAATTGATGGCTTGTCAATTTAATTCATAAGGACAAAGATAAACACATTCATATGCAAACTTTGATCTCCATAAAAGCGATAATTAGATGAAGAGACACCTAAAAACAATTCTCTTAGTCACTCCAAAGCCCAGATGGTCCTGAAGTTAACAGAGGCAAACTAAGTTTCCAGCAACCAGCTTATAATGGAGTCTCAAGCCCTCCACTGTTATGAGTCCTGGGATACTATACAACTGAGCTGCCAAAAATAAAAGCCACTCCATGGACAATAACAAGTTCCTACAAATCTCCTTTTATTTCGCTCTTCCAACTACTTACTTGTGACGGAACAGTCTAATTGCATGAATTTAATCTATTTAGGAAAAGTTTTTTCACCACACCTGCCCTCTAATTTCCTTTTCCTTTTTGACAGTTGATCAAGACAAAGTCGGCAAGCACCTCCTAAGTATGTCTTATGTTTAAGGAAGTTCTCAAATGACATTGTTTCTTTTACATAAATATTTTCAAGCATGGAAATGATAGTGTCACCCAGCATTATTACACTCAAATGTCCAGGATGGAACTCCCCCAAAAACCCTTACTTGATTATCAGGAAATTGTTTGTCAACTATAAAGTCAATGTTCCATACTGCTCACCCGAAGAAACTCCATACTCTTGTATAAATTTTCTCCAACAGAAGTGAGCTGTTCTGACATAAGGGATTCATTGATCCATTTCCGTGGAGATATGCCCTATATCCTTTTTATTGTTGGTTTACCACAAGGTGCATCCCCCAATGTTATCAATTATCCTTCCACCATCTACATAACTCAGATAAAGGGAGGACAATGACACGATGGGAGATAATACAGAATCAATCAAGGTACCACAATCTCCCAACATCAAGAGATTCAAGACCTAGCCCTTCCATATATCTATCCCACACTCTCTCTGATCAATGTGATCCAAACTCTCTTCTACAAGCCGCCCATTTAGTGGTAGCACATATTGGTCAATTTAGTCAACTTACCAAAGCATCTCCTAAGCTTTTCAAGAAGGCGATCCTATCTTTCCTTAATGTATGCAGTCAAAAATTCACACTTCAATGCACAAGAAGCTCCGAATATTGCTCCTGATGCAAGACTAACAGCCCAAACCTTACGTGTTCAGCATCTCCCAGCCCGACCCGGCTACAAGGCCTTATGTGAACACTGGTGCGGGGCAGGGTTTCATTCATGATGAAGGAAAATACGTAGCCACCATTTCACTTGCTTTTCTTGAGATTTCTTGTGTTTTCCTCTTGGCTTTCCCCCCTCTCGAGGCTTCCCTTTTAAGGCTAGTGGTTTCTTTAGGCAAATACGAAGTAAACAGTCTTCATATGATAGGGTGCTTTGTTCATTTTCTTTTGAGTAGTTGTTTGTAATTTTTTTTTTTTTTTTGTAAGTTCAGTGCTCAGAAATGAAAGCCAAAGATGCTGGTTTGCATCAGCACAAGTATTTGTTGGAAAATAAAGCATGATTACAATGTAAGGCTAGCTACATATAGAAAATTTTAATCTTTTTCGTTTATTTCACAAAAACCTAAAACATGGAAGCAAATTTAAACACAAAGATACGAAATTTCGAGAGGATGTTGATTACTTGTTGGGCGAGGGGACCAGAAGAGGTAAGCTCCTCGCGAACGAGATCGCCAGTGGCAATGTGAGGAACGCCGAGGAGATTCGAGAGTCTGCTGGCGTAAGTTCCTTTTCCAACGCCAGGACAACCCAAAAACACCCACTGAACTCCTCGATCCTTCGATTCCTCTCCCTTTGAAGCGGAGAATCTGCGGGGATCTGAATTAGTTGGTGATGATGATAGAGATGATAAGAATCTCGAGGCGATGGCGGATGAAGAAGGAGAAGATGGAGATCTCAGTACGCGGTTGAGGACCGCCGCCATCGCCATGGATTTGGATCACGAGCAGAGCAGCGGATTGCTGGAGAAAGAGGGTGGAAGAGGGGGGCGGCTTTGGGTTTTTGAGACCGATGCGGTCACGTGTTTCGTGCGTGTTAGGGTTGGTTCGGTTGTCTTTGGAAGTAGATAACGAACTGGGTTTGACTTTGCCCTAATGAGGAAATTTTTGTGACGTAACGTCGGGATGTTATTAGGACAAATTTTCAAAACCAACCTATTTCAGCATTTAATTGGAAAAAAAAACCCGTTTCAGTTTTATTTAGAGAAACCGACCTGGTTTCAGCACTGTCGCTGAAACCAGGTCGGTTTCTCTAAAAAAACTTACGAAACTACATCGCTTTTGAACTTTGTTAACATGCACAGGACGACTGGTCGTCGCCTCTGAGCGATCCAAAGTTGAATGTTTAAATCCACCCCCTTGCGGGTGTGGAGTTTTCAGAGGTCCTAAACGAGAGTGAACTGGTATTCTCTCGTTTTGGACTTGTGCAGTTCTGACAGGAGGGTGTTTACGACCCCCTGCATATGAAACCATTAATGGTTTATTTGCCGGACATGGTTGTTCCTTGACTGGGGCTTTGCCTCGATCATCAACTGAAGGACCAAGGCGATCTGCCATTGTTATCTTGAACTTGGACAAATCTGGGCTAACCCAGGGTTCTACTGGTGTTGCAGTAGACGGGCCCGGAACAGATGCTTGTGGTGTCTTTGGCATCCAGACTTTACGATTCTTCGGTGACTTTTCAGACACTGTCTCTTTCTTGGTTCCTTGCGCTTGTTGACGAAGAGCGCGAGTTTGGGCAGCCTTCGCCTTACGCCTTTGTATCCGTTCCTTGAGGGTTGAACGGGCCCTTTTGACGAGAGTCCACTCCTCCGTCGTAAGTTTTGCAGAAATACAATTATTTTGCCGTTGGGGCAATTGAACCGCTTTCTGTTTCCTCGACTCTAGGTCCGCATAGTAATGGACCCCGTCGGTTTGTTGCATGGCCTTAGCCAGTTGTCGAGCACGGCGCTGACGCTGTCTCTGACGAGCCCTCTTCGTCAGCACCGGCGAGCTATTCGTCATCGACTCCTTAAGGGATGTGGAGGCGTTTGGAGCAGGTATGTTGCAGATGGGTTCCTTAGCAGCAATTGAGTAGGAACCTTCACCTGCGGCCTCTTTGGGCATTGCAGACTTGAAAGTTTTCGAAATCTTCCTATATTTGCGAGACGAGGAAGATTTCGCGGATGAGGATGATAAATACTCCTCAAACTTCGCCTGATCGAATTCGTATTCGATCTCTTCATTGATGATGATCTTGATCGGTTGCGACACCGCGGTCTCGGCAGCGAGACCGCTGGCTCCCACTGTGGTCGCCAGCTTGTTTGGTTCAAAAGTCGCTGCTGTGGAATTCATTATAACTTTGTTCGATTACAACAAATTCGAAAGAATAATCTTTTTATAAGACTTTTTCTACACAACAAAACAAAAATTACAACTCTTGAGAAACAAACACGAAAATCGTCTATCAATTCTCGTTTTCGTGGGACTTTGCCTGTGCCGGGAACGCTTTGGTTCGTGGACCGCCGATTCACAGATCGTGAAGAGGGGGCTTATGATTCTAACTTCGTTATCGAAGTAGAAATTGAAACGATATCTTATCGAAGTAAGATAGTCGTTCTTCTTAAAATCAAGTCGAAGCTTAATTTCAAGGCGTTGCAAGAAAAGAACTCAAATCTCTGCTCTCTCTGCTCTGGAATGCTCTAACAAATGCTCGATCCTCGTCAGAAGTGACCCTAGGGGGGTATTTATAGCCTCAAGGGTCAGTAACTGCAAAAACTTAACAATCGAAGAAGTCAGTACGGCGAGACAGTGTTTACTGTCTCGCTGGTCGAGACAGCGTTTGCTGTCTCGACCCGCGAGACAGTAAATTTGCTGTCTCGCTCAGCGAGACAGTAAATGCTGTCTCGGAAATGGCAGTTTCTCGCTGTAACTGTTCTCCCACGTTTCAAACTCCGTTATTTTGGCAGTTATCCACGTGATTTTCGCCCACGATGTTTCCCACGTCCCTTGGCAGTTAATGGACACGTGTAGGGCAGTTACAAATGTAGTTTTGACTATTTCAACACTATCTCGCTGGCGAGACAGCAAAGACTGTCTCGCTGGCGAGACAGTTCATACTTGTTTTGATTTTTCCAAAACAGTATGAAATCCCTGTCTCGCTGGCGAGACAGCAAATACTGTCTCGCTGGCGAGACAGCAAAGCCTGTCTCGCTGGCGAGACAGCAAAGCCTGTCTCGCTGGCGAGACAGTTCATACTTGTTTTGATTTTTCCAAAACAGTATGAAATCCTTTCTTGTGAATTTTTGAGTGATCTTCTCTATGCTTGGGATATCTATTAGCATTTTTTGACGCCTACAGATACCCCCTCCAAAGTATTCCAGACTCATTCTTTTATAGAGGAGCATGGGATACTTTGGATAAGATAGAATTTACTTACGATCCCTTCAATGCTTGGCTGAATAGATCGTATGGAAGGACTTGTAAATGGCTTCAATGTTTGACCTCTTCTGCTGTTAGTCTATTCAGTTCTTCGTAGAATAGCTAATGTTCTCCCGGCGTCGCGTTTATCGCTTGACCGTTGTCGAGATCTTGAATTGAAGTTGATACTTGCTCTTGTGAATTCAGCTTTTACCACTGAATTGGTATATCCGTTGAGAATTCCTCATGTTATCCTTAAGAATATTCAAATTAATATTCTCCAGAAACTTCCTATTGAGGGTGGGAATACAGTTTAGACTCGTGTACCCATTGGAGTAATCCACTGTTCCATAGTGCAAAACAGAAAAGTTTACTGTCTCGTTTGACGAGACAGAGTTTTCTGTCTCGCTGGGCGAGACAGTGTTTTCTGTCTCGCTCGGCGAGACAGTGTTGTCTGTCTCGCTCAGCGAGACAGAGTTTCCTGTCTCGCCCGAGACAGTGTTTTCTGTCTCGCTGAGCGAGACAGTGAGTATAAAAGTCGGACTTAGGGTTTTTTTCACGTCGGTTTTTTGCGATTTCCAGACGATTTCTTGGGCGATTTTCGACCAGTTTTTTCCTATTTCTTCTCCTCTTTGTTGCCGACTTGGGTGGTGCTCTTGTTTGGGAAGATTGCACTCGGATTTTAAAGGTTTGTTCATCCCCTTTTCTTTAAAATTTTGATTTCCTTCAACTGTGACTGTGCATGCATCATTTCGGTTGTATTTGTCCTATTTTTTGTCGATTTCATGTTCAAGATCTTAACTTTCCTCTTGGATTTCAATGTAGATCACATACTCATCATGTCGCCGCGTAGAGCTCGAGGGACCCGAGGCCAGCCACCTGTTCAGAGCCCTGAGGAGGCTGCCCCTGCTGCGATCTCACGTGGAGGTATATTTCTTTCACCTTTTCACGAATTTAAATACTGTATTTCGTCAATTCCATATATATGTTCCTGTATTTGCTTGCAGATCCTCGTTTGTATCCTTTGAGGTACCTTCGAGAAGAGCCGGTATCCTCCTTTGAGGGGATCGACGCTTAAAAGTGTTTGTTTTGTTTTGACAAAACACACTTCATAATACACAGGGGCGATTTCATATCATCCCACATGTATTAAAAGGTTTTGGTATGCCGTTATAATGTCCGCATATCTCCTTTATACATGTGGGGGATAGAAAATCGTCACACCTGTTATAGGATAGCGACTATATCTCATGGAGTAAGATATACCGCTTTTCTCTAAAATTTTAGGACTATACTTACACCATTTGTGTGTATGTTTCTTTTATCAGTCCGATTCCCTTCCTCCATCTTTAATGCTGATGCGGTTACGGGTCAGAGTAGCGTGACCCATTCTTATTATGAGGGAATTCCGTTAATTGCATCATCTCCCCAGTTTAAATCTGATTATAGCGGAAGTGATAGAGAATTAATCCAGCGAGGTAGTTGTCGTGTTCTACGACGATTAATCACAGATGCATCCTTGATCTCGGAGGAAGACTCGAATCAATGCATAAGGAAGCCGGATTTCTTGTTTGGTGATTTGGTGAAAGATCCGAAGATTGCTTTCTGCCAGCCTGCGCAATGGTTGTACCAGAATGGGTCCTCATTCTTATATCTGCCTTTTATCCCCCGGGATCACTCACTATTAATGTTCAGGAATCTATCAGTTGGACGTGAGATGTTCTGGAAGTTGACTGAAAATCACGAGCGTATTCATTGTGGTTTTATTGGGAAGGAAGCCAACCCAGGCTCCAGTGAAAGAGCTCATGTGCGGGGGCTTCATCCGGGTATCTTAGGACAAGATAATATACCTCAGAATGAGAAGATAGTGCAAGCCAACACCGTGAAGAACCGGTTAGCGGCAGCGGGCAAAAGATTACCCAAAGAGACTTTTAGATGCTATGGATGGGTCCATTATTCTGGGGACAAATGGTGGTGGACCAGGATGACCCGCTATGTGTTAAACCGCTTTGGACGAGAGTTAGCAGAATTAGGGTTAGATGTCCCGATTCGTGCCACCATGCATGGCCTACAGAGTAGTGTAGGTCATTTCCTCTGTTTGTTTGAGATCTATAACCCGGACACTAATACATTCTTTACCAAGAACGGGGAACTCGGATTACCACTGCATGAAATGATGCAGGTGTCTGGTTTGCCTATGGGCGATGTTCCCTATCAAGAGTTCTTTCCAACTAGCAATCAGCTGAACAAGATGAAAGATAGCTCAACTGTGACTCATGATACTTTATGGGAATTGACTTGCCATTATCATATAGCCATGGCCGAGATGGAGCCCAAAGCTAGAAAGAAATCTCCTCAGGTCAGCTTAAAACAATTCGCTGACTACCTCTTCAAGAACCTGGATGTCCGTTCGGCAGATGTGTGCGGATTGTCTCCTTTGAGTACAAATGAAATTAACCGTCTGTTAGAGAAAACCAACGCGCAGTCTTATACTTCGCGCTCAGAAGATGGATTTTTGCACGGCACTAAGTTCCGCTCTTATCTGTGGCAAGCTGGTGTTCCGATTAGCCCTACTGCTCTGCTGGC